ATCATCTACAATTGATCATTAACCATTGATTCATCCGACATCACAACTCATACTTATTCTAAATCAATTGTTGTCAATTTCACGCTTTTTGTGCGGTTTTTGTGATATACAATATTATAAAGGAAAAATCACGGAAAAATTAAAGTTACGTCGATTGAAATTAAAAGGAAAATAAAATTTCGAGAGAATTTTAAGATATTTCATATTCGTCAGAAAAGAGAAACTTTTCTAGATTCGATCATTTAATTTTTCTTCAGTCTTTTACGCGTCACACACACGCACATACACACACGATATCCTACGTGTGTGATTAGTTAGTTAGTTTATTAGTTAGTGTCTCTTTATTGAGGACAAAAGAAGAAGAGGAAGAGGAGGAAGAAGACAACCGGACGAAGTAACGCACACACCACAAAACACACAGCCGACAGCATGTCGACACAAGTGCAGGGTAACCTTCTCGATGTGCTCAAGAAGAAAATGAGGCAGACGAAGGAGGAAATGGAGAAGTACAAGGACGAGTGCGAGGAGTATCAAAAACGGCTGCAGGTGGAAGCTATGCGCCGTGAGGAAGTGAGTGTGTAGAGCCTCATGCGCCAATTACGCGCGCGCTCGCGCAACCAACCACTGCTCTCTTTCTCTTTTATTTTTAACACTCATACACATTTATACACAAGTTTATCGTAATACACCTGAGCACGTTTTTCGATCAGTACTTTTCGTTAAATTACAATAAAACAATTTTATACTCGAATATGTTCCTTTTCTCTTTCTCTCTTTCTGTCCCTCTCTTTGCATGGAAAAATTGTGTATGTGTATGTAGAAAGAGAGGGAAAAAGATGAAAGAAAGGTAGGAACTAGAAAAGGTTTGCGACGCCATTTGATTCTTTGGAGTTTCTTCCTACAAGAGCCGGCATATTCGCGTGAGGATAGGAATCGATCGTGTCAGCCCGGTACCGTCATTTTCTCTCTCTTTTTCTCTCTCTCTCTCTCTTTCTCTCTCCAATCTCCTTCAGGCTAAAAGGAGTCGACTACAGCGCCAGAGAAAAAGAGAAAGAGACTCGACGCACTCGAGACGTTCTTGATAACCGGCGAGGACCGGCTTGTCTCTCGCCATTACTCTTCTATATTTCTTTTTCTTTCTTTTTATCTCATTTATCTATATATTTATCTCTTTTTATCTAAACTAACATCCATGATTCGCGAGAGTTCACGTTTCTTTTCCACAAATATTCCTATTATTCCTTCTCTTTCTCTCTCTCTCTCTCTTTGTCTTTTTTTTTATCTCTTTCTCTCTTTCGTTCAGTCGATCGAACAGAAATCTGCCTGATCTATCGGTCAACTTAAATCTTAACTTTCTCGTTTCGTATCTTATCAATTTTGTGAAATACTCAATTTTTAGGTTAGATTATTTCATTCAAAATTTTTTCATCATTTTCAATCATGTCAACTTGGAATTTTAGTTACTAATTTGGCTACTTTTCCGAAGTCCTACGTATCAACGACGTTCTAGTTTAACCAACGAAAAATGAGGATCGATAGATATTATCGAACATTCCGGGGTAGATGTACTCGTTCCAAGAGGTCACAATGAATTTATTATTCAAAGCTAACTTATACTTTCTTTCGCATATTGACATCTTTTATAAACTCGCTAAGAAACCGTTAAATCATCAACCAGATGTGTCAAATTAATCATTTATTTTGAATTGAAAAAATTGTTCAATATAATGTGTACTTTTAATTGAAAATCACTGATATTGATTGGTTATCTATTTGAAATTGTCCGAATGTTTTTCTGTAATTTTGTTAATTTTATTTAAATCGTTTCATAGGCAATATTAGCAATATATATTGAATTATATAAGTATTATACAGGGTGGGTTAAAATAAAAGTTCATAGAATACGTTTTGATGTATTTGATTTAAAAATTATTAAAGTATCATCTTCATTCGTTTATTTGCTACCTTCTGTGTAACCTTTAAATTTATAAATGTTCCTACGTTACGAAAAAATTCCAAAAACTTTCACTACTTCACACTTTCTCTGAATATCATTTCGCAAAACTAACCTCAAAATCGGCCTTATCTCTCGTACGCAAAAAAAGATAATATCACTGTTTTGTTTCCAATGTAAAACGTGAAATTCTTCGAAAGAGTCACCTTATTTTTAATCGATAAATGTCTTCATGATTACCACCACCCTGCCCCAAGTGTTTAAACATTGATTATTTCGCAGAAAAGCAAAATGTTCTCATCGATCGACTTTGAAAAGATATATTTTAAGTGTTAAGATAGCTTTTGTATCTGCTCTGTACGCTTTTTCCTTAAGCGAATACAAGGATATATGTTGTTTGACGTATTAATGTCATCTCCAGGTTGAGATATATCACAAACGTCATAACTTATAGTCAAACAAACGTTTCTTTGTGTAGAATTTAATAAATAAATAAAAAAAATAGATAATACAATTAAAAAGTATTATCTTTAATAAATAACAAATATTTTTCATTGTATTGCAATCAGCAATAAATGAGATAATAAATTAATGTGCGCACTTTCACTATTTATAATTTTGATTCAAGATGGCGTTTTCTTGTATTGTAGTTAACTCCATATTTTGCGATTAAACTTGTCATGTGTATGAAATTATTTTTAAAAAGAAAAAAAGAAAAGGATCTATACAGAAATTTTTGTAGATAATTATTTCTCATCTATTTTATTATCTCGACGTGATTACGTAACTCCTTGTGTAAAAAAGATAAGATAAGGTTTCATTTTTTTGACTCTAAGCATAGTAAAGGCGAGAGAACAATCATGAGATAATCCGATGACATTCGCCAATGTAATACTTTTATAAAAGAGTTAGAACAAAGTAAATAAGTATTTAGAGAGGGTTTTTTAAAAGACCATCGGATATATTTGTTCGAGATCCGTTCGGGCTTCACTAACCGGCTTTTATCGTTAATCAACCAACTGCACTACCGTATCTTCTAGTGTAACCTTTTTTTCCTTATTATTAATCACATTTATTTTACTTTATTTCCTTTGGTATAATTTATTTTAGTTACACAATAATAAAATATCAAGTTTTATTCAGTTTTTCTTTGAAAAATGGAAGTTTATGCAAAGATAATTGCAGCGTGTCCTCCATTTTTGTTCTTCCTCTTCTCTTATTTATTTGTTTGGCGTAATCTATTTTAGTTACTCATTTTCAAATTAAAATTTTGATTTTTATTTTGTTTATTTAGGGGGGCATAAAAGGATTTTTTTCGTGCCACTCCCAATGATAGGCAAGCATAGAAACGTAAATCGATCAGGGAATGTTGAATTAGGCGGGAACTTTGATTGAGTGTTACACGCATCGAGAGAACATCGAGTGGTTTACATAACAGGAGAACGCGTGTTCTAAAGCGGATGTCATCGCTCCTCCGGAAAGTGCTCGATAGTCCATGCTGACATCCGTTTCAAATCTGTCGAAAAAAATATTTCTCTATCCATTCAATTCCAATAAAATAAGGAAAAACATTTTCATTGTGTCAAATATCACTTTCAGAATTAGAGTCAAATTAATGGAAGGTGTGCCAAGAATTCTTAAATGATTTTTTAAAAATCATTTATATTTTTCCGAGACTTCTTAAAAATCAATTTTGTTGAGATTATAAAACTAAAATTCTGGCTAATGAAATTGTATATTTAATTGTGAACCTAAAAGATCTTTAACGAAAGTAATTAGTTTTTGAAATTACCAAGCCATTATTAGCTTACCTTTTAAAATAGTTTCATGTATTTTTAATTAAATAAATTTTGTATATAGTAGTGTAATAGTATAATTTTGGAAAGGTGTCGTATTAAGAACGGAAATTCGACATCCTCTTAGGTTAAAGTTAAAACAGGAGGGCCATTAACGCGGATTGCGAGTTCGCTTGGGTGGGCGTGTCAATTTCCTCTGAATTTACATATAACCTTTATATAGGTACGATATAGGATCATATATGTATATACCACTATGTATACCTAAGCATACTTACATGGCAAAGATAAAATGATCGAGGACAAAGACCAGACTATGTTCGTACTAGGGCAGGCCATTTGATCGTTAAATACAATGCGTAATCGTTGCACAGGTGCAGTCGTTAAAATATAAAAAGAATAAAATGGTCACGTGTCTCGCATGCTAATTTTCTAGGTTATAATATATAATCAAAGAATTTAAAAAAAAAACATTAACTTTTACAATGGCACCATTTTGAATTATTTTTGGCCTATATTCATTCTATCAATTTTGTATGTAAAATTAATTGGGTCAATTCATTCGTTTAAATTAATCGACAAGGATGAGTAATACTCGATGATGATAAATTTGAATGCAAATGTGTTTGTAATTTTTTTTTTTGTAGAATCGTAGGTGTCAAATAGAATATAATAATTAATGACTATAGTCGTGCTATTAAACTCGTTGATGTAATTCGTTAGCCGAAGGAAGCTTGGGTCATTGATATACGCTCAAAGACCTCTTACACCGATCTCATGCCGTGTATATAGTCTATTAGAATAGACTTTGATCACGTGCCGTAGCATTCAGATTTAAAAAAGAAATTTTTGTGATGGTTAAATCAGTCAACAAGAAACTAAATTTAATTTGTAAAATAATTTATTTATTCATTCTACTTTTATTTCTTATTTAAATTAATTTTTTTTAATGGATTTGTTTTAATTTATCGATCGAGTAACCGATGTTGGGACTTGTTAGCATTACTTTTATTATTATTATTATTATTATTATTATTATTATTATTATTATTATTATTATTATTATTATATAATTTATTGATTTAAAACTAAGAATTATATTTTTATACGATTTTTAAATGTAAATTATTGTTTAATATGATAGCAAAATGATAAAATAAATTTTTGCAAAAAATAAGTTATATTTGTACAATTTTTGATGGTTTTAATTTCTTACTCCAAAGTTTGTATTTCTATTTTTATTTTTCCAGGCCGAATCAGAAGTTGCTGCCCTCAATCGTCGTATTCAACTTTTGGAAGAAGACCTCGAAAGATCCGAGGAACGTCTTGCTACTGCCACTGCCAAATTGGCAGAGGCATCTCAAGCAGCAGATGAAAGCGAACGGTAAGCGAGCATTTACATTTTTTATTTAAAAATATTCATTCGTGATAAGAATATCAAGAAAAGAAAAAATAAGATTTATATCTTATGTTTTTCATTCCAATGAATTGATAATCTTTTTTTCTCCCTAGAAAAAACCAAGAAAGAAATCTAAAAATACAAATATTTAGTTAATTGCAAATATAAAATTAAGATTATTCATCACATGATTTTATTACATTGATTTGTTTCATAATTATCAATACATTGGAGTATTCTTAGTTTATCGATAGAGATGCAATTTATTTATATTACTATTTTTATTAACAAAAATATTTTTTAATTTTATATATTAATTTTTTTGTTTTGTGCTTTATTCTTAAAATTTTTGATATAATTTAAACTCGAATGTTAAAATATATTCTGAATATAGTAATCATTAAATAAATTATTTTTATTTAAAAGAAAAATTAGAAATTTCTAATAAAAGCTGATCAAAAATAAGTTGATTCAAAATGAATAAATAACATTTCTATCATTTTAAATTAGAATTAGATAAATAGTAGAATGATAGTAAAGTTAAAAAACGAAAAAAGAAACAAATACAAAAAAATAACTTATTATTTTTTATATACAAAGTCATTGCACATTAAAAATTAAGTTTATAAAAAAAAGAATACAAAATTAACTTCGTTTTTTATCTTTATGAAAACCATAAACGTTTTAGAATGATTTTAACAAAGTTTAACATCTTAACAATCTGCGATATTTAAAAAAAAAAATGAAACCAACAAGAAAAATTGATATAAACGTGGAAGAGCGAGGAAATTATCTTCACTATAGAACAAATTTTATTTTTTAACTAACACTTTGACATATGATGATCGAAAATATAAACGTTGATATATCTAATAATAAAGTCACCTTTTAAATTGAAATCAATGGTCAATCGATAGTAAGTGTTACGTACTTATATTTGCTTATAATAGTGGTGAATTAAGCGTTAAATTCACCTAACTATAATAATCATGTTTTCTGATCATCTACATGCACGTATATTCTTATATATACTTAAAGTACATGTTCAAAAAAGGATATTCGTTACGTAAAGTTGTCTCATACGTGTGGGTATAAAATCATCGTTGATTCAATTATTTGTCGGACACAGCCTAGACATTCAATTAATTTCATCCACTTTATTCAAAAAAGAAATTTAATTTTATTTATTTATTTATTCAATAACATCAAAGTTAAAATTTGCATTAAATTATGTAGAAAAAATTATTATATAAATAAGATTTTTATCAAAAATTTCAATTCATTTTGATGAATCATTTTGAAATTGATCAAATTAATTCAACTTATCAAAAATAAAATCAAGATTATTATCAAAATAATTTTAATAATAAATAAATAATAAATAATTATTAACGTTAACTTTAAATTAAATGTTGCTCGCTCTTCTATAAACAAATTTTAAATTTAGAAACATTAACTAATATTTAATTAACATTTCGACGTTGAAAGAATCATTAATGAAATACTTTAATTGTTTCTTATTTTTTTTATTTTTTTACTATTAAAAATTATATATCCTTTTTTTCATAAGTCATAAGTTAGTACATATATGAACATGAATCAAGAAATTATCGTAATATTCTCAACTAAGACTTTGAAGTTCCGAGTTTAGCATCGGTAGTCAGTCTTTCATAATCGGAAATATGAGCTCATTCTTTAAATATCATGCTTGCTTTTCATTTATCGTCGCCTTTCAATAAAACAACGGTATGTGTATTTAATAGGATTGACGATTTGCAATCAGATGATTATACTGATTCAGATTTTATCTCTTTTTTGTTTTCTTTACTTAATTCAACCAAAAAATATTACCTTAGTAATTTTTATTTGAATTTAAAATTAATTATTTGAATCTATTATTAATAATTTTTAATAATTTTAATTATTTATTATCGATTGAACTTCAAGGTTATGATTGCCAAAATTCATTCAAGAATGATTAAAACAAAATTTGTTTTATATATTTTTTTGTAATTTCATTAAAATTACTGGAAGAGAAATTTTCTTTCAACGGCGAGAGAATGAAAAAACTAAAAATCGTAAAATAATCGATCGCTAGGATACGCAAGGCACTCGAAAACCGAACCAACATGGAGGATGACCGAGTATCCTTGTTGGAACAACAGCTAGCACAGGCTAAATTGATTGCCGAAGAGGCGGATAAGAAATACGAGGAGGTGGGTCACGTACGCCAGAGAACAAAGAACACTTTACAACCAAATATATATAT